GGGCCAGCTACCTCAGCAATCCCTTCTTCTGCCAAGCTAGCATCCTCCACAGCCTCCTTCCTTTCAGAAATGGCTTCCTCTACAGACTCTTCTCCTTCAGGGCCAGCTACCTCAGCAATCCCTTCTTCTGCCAAGCTGGCATCCTCCACAGCCTCCTCTCTCTCCAACACAGCACCCGCCACAACACCCTTCCCTGTGAAACCTCCCTCCTCCATGGCCTCCTCTGCCTCAGACATCGTCTCACCCACCACCTCCTTCACTGGAGGCCCTGTCGCTCCCACAGCCTCCTTTGCCTTGGAGGCCACCTCCACAGTCTCCTCCACAGCCTGTCTTCCCTCAGAGACCTCCCCACCCGCCTCCTCCCCCTTGGACACTGCTCCATCTGCCTCCCTGCCTAGCAGTGCTCCTGCCCCTGCCGGCTCCTCTCCCCCAGGTGCCTGGTCTCCCAGTGCTGCCTTGCTCCCCATCCCCTCCATCAGAACTTCCTGCTCCCCGGGTGCCACCTCTGCACCAGACTCCATTCTCTTCCCTGTCCCCTTTGCTTTGGGATCTTCTTCTGCCATGGTGCTCTCCTCAGGTGCAGATTCCTCCACTGCCAGCTGACCCTCTGCCTGCAGCACAGCCACTGTGTCTTCCTTGGGCAGCAAATCTCCCGCCCATGCCATTTCTTCTCCTGCCTCTTCGGTGCAAGCATCACCTCCCTCAGCAATAAAATCTTCCTTCTCAAGTGCTTGTCTCTCCCCTACCATCTGCCCTTCTCGTACCACTTGTTCTGCTGCCTTCTGCACATGAAGTGTTCTTGTTCCTTCTGCCAAGAAAGCTCCATCTGGTGCTATTAAGAAATAATCAAAACATTAGTTTTATTGAGAACTGTGTTAGTGTTAAGGCTGTTTTACAGGGTTATTATTAAAGATGCTATCTCTCCCAAGCAATGAAGGGGCATCAGTATGGTGACAAGAAAAAAACTTGCTGTGCTGCTTCTCATCACGCACCTGTGCTCTGACTACGTTTCTAGTGCTGCCGTTGTGGCATCTGGCGTAACTAATTTAAGCCCAAATGCTGATGCATGACCAGCTTTCAACTCTGACAGTTCTGCCTGCCCTGCCTACTCTCCATCCTTCCCTAACCTGCCTAGCAGGGAGCTCAGGTGTGTATATGAAATAGGTATAAGCTTGACAGTAACATTCAAAAATTCAGAAATAGATGGTAAATTGCTCATGTAAAATACACACGCAGAGGAAGAAGAATACTCAGCTGTTCATGTAAAATGGGTAATTGCTTCCCATGGATTCTGTAATTACACCGGGGGAATAATACACGGTTGATTCCTGCCTCCCTGGGAATTTAACAGCAATGCCCTCATTGAATTTGGTGCTCCAGGATCTGTCCCTGGGCAGGCACCCCCAGCAGTCTGTGCTGCTGCATCGGTGTTTTGTACAAATGTGGCAGGTTCCTATTCTTTAGAAAATGAGAAGTTTTGTGCCACTGAACGGAGCACAGAGCAATGTCTTTCCCAAGCTACCCTTTCTCAAACCGGGCAAAGGCTGTCTTGCCCCAAATCATCTCCCACTGTTTTTGACTTATTTTACTTTCTTGCACTACTGCTGCACTCCACAATCACTGCTTTTTGCTGCCTGCTTGGGCAACTAGACCCCATCTCTGGAACGGCAGCCAGAGAAGACACCAGGTGACAAACAGGCCTGGAGGACACTGTTAGTCGGCCTGTCTCTGCCAGCAGAGTGGAGCTTGTGTCCAGTTTCCCACAACCCTTCCACTGGCCTTGCTGCTCCCCACTGTCACTCTGCCCTTCCTGCCCTTCAGAGCTGGACCTGATTCACTCACGGGGCAGGTTTGCTGCAGAGGAAAGCAGAAGGTGCACAAGGCAGCTCAAGCAGCTGCAGACAGTCAAGGAACCAGAAGAAGAAAGGACAGGCTGAGAAGAGAGTTTCCAGAGAGAGAATGGAGGTTGGGGAAGGAGAGGAGAGGAGGGAGCCAGCAGGTTGTTTCCTCCCACCAGACCACATATTGCCTGAACCCTAGACCACACTTTAAAATTAAAAACTCTACATTTTGCAATATGAGAAATCATGCCTTCATCCAGACACATCTTGCATCAGGTTTGTTGCTTATGTTTACTACTAGCTTTCTGTCCCTTATATTTCAAAATTTTTCTTCTTTTATACAGTTATCAATCACTATAATATTTTTACAGCACTCACAACTGAAAATCCTACCTCCTGAATCTAGGAGAGCTCAGGCCCACTATCAAAATCAGTAACATGTAATCATTTAAAAAATTTCTAATGGAAGTTTTGATACAAAATGAAAAAAACCATCCCAAACTGTCATCCCAACTCAGAGTTAAATACTACTGTCTCCACAAAGTATAGTGTCCGAACTGTCAAGGCGCTAATATTGGACTGAGTCTAATGTAATGGATTTTGCCAGTCCCTTTAAAATAGATGCTTTGTTCACTTTGTCTAAAAGAAACCAAATGCTGTGTTGTGCGTGGTATAGTCTACGTGTTCACCTGCTTCATTAGCAGAGAGAGGAGTTAATTTACTCTGGCTGCTGCTTACAAAGTATTCCCTTCTGTAAAGTGAGGTCTTGCATTGGGCAGGAATGATAACGGCAACTGTGAAGTTGCTTCAGATTTGAAGTATTCAAAATGAGGCACCGTGCAAACCTCAGAAGTTAACAACTAGGAGATTCCAGGCTTTCCAAAGACCACCTGCCAGGGAAGCAAACATGTTTCAACCCTGATTTGGAGGGACAATTGGCACAGAAGTCAGGCTGCCCAGGAACTACATACTTTCTATCCTGGTCTATGCATCAGAAACATAGATCCTTGTGAAGACCAACACATGAAGACTATTGGACTTTGAAATTAAATGTTATAGACAGTTGTTTGCGGTCAGCTGATGAGACCAAGGCAGAAACAATCTCATCTGAGAAAGAATTACCGATAAAAAGACAATTACTGACAGACCAGAGATGAGAAGGAATCTCCAGCCTCCTGTATACACCTTCTGGATGAAAGACAACAAACCTTAAAAGACTATGTTCTTAGGCTACATAGAGGAAGACGATCAAAAGGCTCCCAGCTGACCAGAAAAAACCTTAGAACACCCTGGATTAATGTGCCAAAGTACAAGACAGTGCACAACTAGCAATTTAAAAACAACGTATATGACCTGTTCCTGCCAGCTGTTAGACTCTTAGAGGATGGAAGAAGAAAATGTAAGAGCAACAGTGCAGACTGAGGTCAGTTTTAACCTATAGTTTTCTTCTTTTTTCAGACTCATTGCTACTGTGGAGTAGACTCTTAACATTTACTTTCACTATGGCTCACTGCTGCAGCAGGATGGCTGGCTTTAATACCCCCTGTATAATACGCAAGGCTCTTCTGCCAGGCAGATCAAGTCTCCAGCAATAAACTGCTAGGGTTGCAAGGACCAGAAACATTCTTGGAGGGAACCAAGATCAAGCTAAAATTTTTCACTGCCAATTATGCCAACTGCTAACAGGGAGATGAGTTCGGCAGACTAACGGTACAGCATGGAGATCAAGTCTGCAGTTCAGCTTCATACCTAGTCTGTCAGTCTCATCCTGCCTGTCTTGACAATGCATTTCCCAAGGAGGCCCTGCACTACCTGGAAGCAAAGGGAAACTCACTAGATTCCTGCTTTCCACAGCTATTTTCTTGATTGGCAGCCAGTTTTTTCATGGCCTGGATTCTTTACCTAGGACCATTGTAACTGCCAAAAAAGCATTACTTATACATGACTACAGAAGACAGCTAGTCATCACCCAATTTTATACAAGTTAGGAAAGAAAAGAGCACAAGGAGGGCTTGATAGCCTAGAAAGGAAAGGGAAAGGGAAAACACTTCTATAAAAAGACTTCAGATGAATAAGATTTAATCCATGCCCCTGATCGACGGCCAACCTCACCTTCATTGGCATCACACTCTGTACTTGTTACGTTCTCTTCTTCCTCATCTGCACAGGAATCGCTAGCTTCAGGTTCAGAATTCACATGATGATCATTTCCAATTGCCTTTGCTATTTCTTCCTGGACTGGTTTGCAATCTTCAAAAACTATCACAAAGTTACAAAAGAGGAAGCAAGAAAGAGAAACCATTAAAAAGCAAAAGGGGAATAGAAGTCATCCAGCTATCTCAGCTTGCATTAAAATTTGAAATGTTAGGGCATACCCGATTGGAGCCATGTAAATCTTCACCAGCCATAATTTTTTAAAGTAGATTAAAACCAAATGGAGACAACCATTAAAAATCCAAGGGAAAATTCACGCAGGAGCATCTATTGAAACATAGAGCGGCAATCTTCCACAACATTTTCACAAAACAGTGAGATTGCTTTTGTTAGGCAGTCTGAGAGGGGTTTAACGTACAAGCAACAACATTGTTTTATAGACATAAAATTGTTATTGTTCTTTGAATACTTTAAAAAAAAAAAAAATTCTATATTAAGCTCCCAACTACAGTTCTGATGATTCCGCAATTCCCCAAAGTAACATAAGTGACTGAAGACATATGCTTATCTATAAATAAGTGGGGAAGTATTTTCTGCTCTTGTAAATGCAATGATTATGATGCTTCACAGTCAAGTCATACATTTGACATTATTGTTAAAATTGTGCTATCTGTTCCATTTTTGCTTTATGACTTGCCGGATGATTACGTGAATGGCTTTCAAGCTAGTAATACTAAACAACTTCTTTATGAGCACTATTCCAGCCATGTACACAGTCCGATCCTTTCAGCATCTCCTCTGAGAGCTCTTCCCTCCAGTGACCCAGGTTTCTCCCTTCAAGTTCCATCAGTTTTCTATATCTTTCCTTTTCTGATACACTTATTGGCTTAGTCTTTTACACAAAGAGCTTGCTAGTTTGCCACTGGTATGGATTGACAGCATAAAGTCAAATCTCGCACTTGGTTTTACTGCCAAATGGCCTCTATTGCCAGTATACTGTGTCCATTAGGAACCACAGCCCTTCAGGTACATCTCTGAAACAGCTGCCCACTGTTGTTTGTGTTATGACTGTTAGTGTGAGACTTGATTAATTCCTGTTGCTGTTTGGATGGTGCCAGTGGTCAGATGTTTCAGACTGCTCCTCTGCAGTTTGGAACAATCATGTCTTTGACCAAAAGGGAGTAACTCAGTCAATTGCTTGTACTCAATACTTATGTCAAGCATAACTTTCAGATCATAAAGGAGACAATCACAACATTTCTAGATCTTATTACTGTATGTGACATGAAGCAGCACACTGGTCAGCTTCATCTATGCAGTGGAAATGCTGCAGAGACACTTGTGCCAAGTTTCAGTTTCTAGATGTCTACCGACAAGTTCTACGTCAAGGCTCAGTGAGAACATGCACACTTTTCAATATCTTCACCAATGATCTTCCCAGAATCAGCCTATGGCATTTTATTTAGACAAAGTATTTTGTTTGAGAGTAAAGGAGCAGGCTTTCAGCCAGCGAGGAAAAAAGATCTGAATCCTGACTTGGTCTTCTGTTACAAAAATACAGAGACTGAAACCAATTGCCACAACAAACCACTCAACATGTTTCTGGCTAAATCATGACTCACAGCCTAGATAAAGAGATGTTACATGGTATGATATCTTGACTTTCAAGCAACACCTTATTTCGATTTCTCTGAAAATAAAAATAAGGAGCCATGAGTAAAAAGCTAATGCTCCCACACTAAGGAACTGGCTGACTTTGGGCCACTCTGCAGTAGAGGATGTAATAAAGCTACCCAAAATTTTGGGCTTCATAAAGAATGGACAGGACAGAAGCAGTGAACCTGCTGTGACAGGAGCCTGAAGGGCTGGCAGTATCAGCAGATTCAAAACAGACTAGACAAACTCATGGACATCAGATGCATAAATGGATACCAAAGGATTGGCAGGCATTTTTTTCTAACAGCTATTATACAACAGATTGGAGTGCAGAAGAGCTACAAAATGAGTGAAATTCAGAAAACAGAGGTTCTCATGTTTGTGAATAGCATCTTCTCTTGCCACTGCGAGACACAGACTACTGTGAGAGATGTGCCTCTGGGCTGATCTGTCGGGCACTTCTGAAGTTACTAGGAGCTCTGCTAGAAGAAAATCAGTTGCATAAAAATAAGCACAATAAGACTGCCCGACCTGGCCACTAGTCTCATCCAAATTGCCCACTTAAGCCACAGAAATACTGTCTTGCCTCAGAACGTTTGTACAGGTCTTCTATGGATCGCTGTCACTTCTGGGTGTCATGTATTGAAATCACATGTACTTGCATGTGGCAGAATGTTCCCTCCAGCAATTTATTAAGAAAAATGGCTATCAATTCTTATGAGACTGATTTCTTTATACATGTAGCTGTGTGTATGGGATTTAATCTGCCTGCTGCTTCAGAGTCAGACAGGGCACTGAAAAGTCCAGGAGTGGGAGAGGTGTTGTTGCCACTAGCTTGCAGTGGGGAGAAGACTTAACACTGTCTTCCCTGCCACAACCTTGCACTCTTCTCTTCCCAAATCCCCGCCTCTCTCTTGCCAATGCACACCCTGTGCTCGCTCACCTTTTTCCTATGAGGTTGTTTTTTTCTACACTGTTGATTCTGTCTTGCTACTCGCCCTCATATATGTTATTTTCCTTCTTTTTTTCACTTTTGTTTTTATTTTTTCTTCTTCTTCCTCCTACTTTATGCTTATACCCATCCTTCCTACCCCGTTAGCACCCTGCACCCACACAGCTCTGAAAAGAAATGTGAGAAAATTTTTAAAAGACCATTTCAGTCTACAGTACAAAAGGCACTTGCTCAGCATGAATGCCTTTTTGCCTATACCATAGGTCCTAAAGGGCAGTGATGGCTTCACTCCTTGCTCTCACATTTCACCTGGGTGAAGCACTAAGATCTGCTCTGCAAGGAACCATGAAAGTTGAGCATTTATAAGGTTCCTCCTGGGACCCAGGAGATCCTGACAATAGTCTCTGTGCAGTAGTGCACAACCTGCTTGAATCATTCTGACATTTCAGCTCTGCAGAGAAGACAAGAAGCTTTCTGCTCCAGGGCATCCCTTGGCTGCCTCACACAGAGGTACAGGCAGCACTTTCTTCGTCTTGCTGAAATACCAAGTGCTTTGCTACGTATGGTGCATATATTTTCCTTTGACCTGATTACAGGCCTGAAGTCTGACTAGCTGGCAGTTCCCATTCTTCGCAGTTTACTGCCTGTGTAACATTTGACAAAAGGGAATTGACAATCTATCAAAACAAGAGCGCAGGGAAGGATGACAAATACTGCTCACAATAATCCTCTCTCTTGCGATCAGCAATATGTCCTTGTCACAAAAAGCACAGCAAGATCAGAAAACGTGCAGCAGGAGCCCATCCCAGGTATTTCCATACTTCTGACAGATCCTGTCACACCACCAGTTGTGATTTGCCCAGACTCAGCCTGCAACTGAACAACCCCAGAGGAGCGTTTTGCACCTTTTGCTTTCTTCAGCATATACAATTTTCTCTGATAAATTAGTTCTGCACTGTTAATGACAGCACTGGTTAGAAGAAATCCTGTCACGAGCAGAGCATGATGGGTCTCATCGGGGCAAAACCAAAACAGTCTCATCTAAACACAGGCTGGACGGCTGATGAGAATGACCAGCCCTACAGAGAAGTTCATGTGAAAAAATCAGAGAGGCCCAAGAACAGACTGAGAACCAATTCTGCAGTCGCAGTAAAGGACTGAGCTCTTTCAGCCCCCTGGGTGTCTCTGGAGGCTTTTAGCCCTCAGCCTTTTGGAGGACTGGAGTAGCAGGAGTTGTAACCATCTGGCATTTCTTTTAAGACTATAGACATCCTTATATTTTTGAATTAGAATCTTTATCATGGCAGCAACTGTGCTAAGTGCCTAGAGGAAGCTAAGATTCCCATGTGACCTTTGTTACCCCACAATATTTCTTTAGCATGCTCAGTATATCTCAGAAAGGGTATTATCTTTTTCCATCATTGCTCTACACGCAGTTCCTTGGCAATTCTTCATTTACTATAAAATTTACCTAGACAACTCCCATGTAGACAGGGAAAAATCTGTATGCAATTTAGGAAGTCATTCCTATCTGTAATTTTTATGATTCAATGATTTTTCTTGTCCTTCCTTGATCTGCACTGTCCCTGAATCTCAGGTAGTCTCCTGGCAGCAGAGATGATGCAGGACTTGATTAAGACGTAAATGCTGTTACCTACATAACATTTGGACAATCTAAAACATCTGCATTCATTGGCCACGAGTTCCCTTTGCTATGCACAAAGGGACAAACGCTCATCTGATATCAATCTGAATTTATGCTAATAAAGAACAACGCTATTGTCTTAGGCTAACTCGGTACCAGATTGATACTGGCTTGACACATTTGATTGGTCTTTCCTTGGTTTTGTATTACAGCGTAATATTCTGTCCTCTAGGTTTTTAAAGTTCTGTCTTCTTCAGTAGTTCTTACTCGACTCATCTGAACCTAGTGGTGAAGGTGCTTAAATTGAAGTTTCTTTCACACAAGTGAAGAGAGGGGTTTCAGAAGCAAACATCTTCGAAGACTTCAGCACTATTCAATGAATAGTATGTTACTGTCTTTACTGTCTCAATTCTGAATGCGTAACAAAGCAAAAGCAATGCACAAGACAGTCAAAGTAACCCAGCAGCAACAGACTTGCAAAGCATTAAGCACCAGCATTCAAATTCTTTATTCCACACATGGCTATCTTAGATAGATGCACTACAGTGACCAGAAAGCAATAGAAACAGAACCAATAATTTCTGTTGAGGTAAAGGAAAAGCATTCTACATTCCACTGCAAATCCACCATACAGAAAGACAACTGGAAATTTCATCTACCATGGTTTGTGGCTCTCCTTTATGTCAGCACCAGTGCAGACAACTATTCTTTTACACTGCCTGATTTAACAGCATCCAAGACATTTCCCCCATGACCTGGATGACATTGCAAAGCAAGGGCTTACATTTGTCCCATTCCCCAGATATAATAATGCAAAGCCTTGCTTATGTGGCCAACCTTTTATAAATTGCCCGTTATCCATAAAGGTAAGGTTGAAACTGCAAGATGCCCATTTTATCACAGTAAAAACAAGGTGTCACACAGCTAACTGATTTGCTCTTTGCCAGCAAATCCATGACAGAGTGAAACAACACAACCATGGATCAACTGACGTAGTTCTGATCTTCATCTGCTCCACCATGATTCACATGGTAATTTTTGGTGTTCTTTTTGAATCTAGTATTTCGACATTATAAACAGTCCCCCAATCTGGCATACAGATTCTCCCATAGGTAATAAATCATGTTTGGATTTTATAATAATTGCATGATATGTGAAACCCAACTACTGGAGTAAAAAAGAATAGCCAAAGCCTTACACTGGAAACACTGGAAAAGAAACAACTAACCAAGGTTACATTCTGGGTGATTATTTAGCTCACAGCAGTACAGAGTGTTCTAGTAGCTTGAAAACAGTCCAGCAACTGCATTCCCCATGCTGCACCACGACTTAGTATAAAGGCAAATACAGTAACGCTTGCACTAGTCACTCACTGTTGTGCAGAGGGACTGTACTCACCACCTCCTTCATCACTCTGAGAAGACTCTTCATTGCTATCTTCCACTTCTGTCATATTGCTTTCCAAAGGCACTAGAAGACTTTCCTCCCCATCATCCCTCCTGGTGCTTGCATTTTTCTCCCCATCTTCCTCTATGTTACTTTCTACTGACCCAGCCTGTTTGAGTTCCCCATTAACTTCAGGACTTTGACGCTGTATTGCCATTATATTGTCATGAAAAATTCCAGTATCTTCCCTTGCTGTTAGATCTTCTCGTTTTGCCTTTTCTGCTTCATCTATTCCTTCCTTTTCCAGTGCAAAAGTTTCCTGATTTTCCTCCATTCTGAGCAGTTTGTTCTCCCCGTTCTTATTTCCATATTGTGCATGTGATGCATCATCAGATGCTCTTTTGATACTATACTCCTCTTTGTCTTTAACGTTGTCTTTCATCGTTTCAGCATGAGAGTCATCTTCACTGCTATACTGAGTACTGATGGATGAGAGACAGTGTGCAGGCCTCCTATCTAGAAATAGCAAACATCGTTTTGTTTTAGTATTTGTCACTAAAACATCTGCATTCATTGGCCACGAGTTCCCTTTGCTATGCACAAAGGGACAAACGCTCATCTGATATCAATCTCTGAATTACACCATCTGAGGATATCATGACAAAATTCCAATAAGTGTAATAGAAGAACATTGCCCAGAGGTATCAGTGTTAAAATCAAAGCCATTTAACATATTTTTTTCTGATAATGGAAATTAACCAGATTAGCTCCATCAATCACACAGAAATACACCTCCAAAAGTACCTCTACATATGACTCAGACAGGTTTTAGAATAGTTTCTTGAGCTCCATTTGATAAAAGATTTCAACCATAGCAACAGTCCGTTAGTGCACTCCTGTTATCTCAGTAAGTATGATAAAGATCTCCAAAATCATGTGTAAACTATTCAAGTTGAACTGGAGATGAAGTTCACTGTCCTCTCTAAAAAAACATACAGGGACCATCATATGAAATTCATAAATGGAAAATTTGAGGGGAAAAAAAAAGCAATAATCCTTCATCTAACATTTAGCTGAACAGTAGAGCTTACTGCTACACAGCATTGCTGGTGTCCAAAGTTCATATGGGTTCAAGAAGAGATTAGTCAAACTCAAGGAAGAAAAATCCAGTTAGGCCTAATAAGTAAAAGGGACCACCCTTGCCAACAGCTAATTACAGGTGTGGGAAGAAACAGTGGGGAAGCAGCACAGTATTCTTGCCCTTTTCTTCTATTTTTCCTAGACATTTGCTGCTGGCCAAAGGCCAGAGGTAGAATTTGGACCCACGGTCTGTCCCTGAACAGCTAATCTCAGAGCCACAGGAGCCAATCTGTGACGCATTATTTCTTCCTGCAGCCACAGTCTTCCAGCAGCCTCTATGCCTCTTCTTCCACTGTGGATCTGAGGAAGGCTCATTGCAATTTTTTGTAATATCTAAATTATCCTTTTCATCTGCATTGTATTACAAAAACTTTGCAGGACTGCTTTTAAAAGAACCTCAAAAATGGAAGCTAAAACTTCCCTAAAATACATCAACTACTCCCATGAATTTTAAAACAAGAACAAAGAAGGTGTGTTTGAATGGAAACTGCAATTCTAAATTAATGGACTGCCTTGTATAGATGCCAAACTATCAATTCAAGAAAACTCCTCAATTTTCCTTAAAAGTAGCCAAGGAAAAGGAACAGAATGCAACTCCACCTCCCAGCATGCTTTAGCGGTGGTGTGAGGAAGCTGCCGCATCTCTGGGGAAGTTATTCAGGCAGACGCTCATTCTAACTTCGACATCTTCACAGAGACTGGCAGCAAGGATAATGAGTGGTACCAAATGTGAGGTGGGTGTCCACCCTCTAGGATCTCTACTGCAATGGATTTCAGGCACAAATTACTGGACAGCCACCACCCGGTAATGACTCAGTTACTTCCAGTCTTCACTGGACTTGCACCTGTGTTCTAACGGTAGGTATGTTTAGACTCCCAGAAAACATCATCACTCCTAAAGACACTTATAAGAATATAAACAAGCAAGTTCAGAGACAGAACAACTTAAATGTGCAGTTTACATATTGTACTATGGGAATTGCCAGTGATTCTCTCCAATTTATTCACAGGGCAATGGTCCACAAGGATTTGAATGCCAAGGTCTCTCTTACATGCTCTTTATTTATGTCTGATTCATAATATTGTATGCAAAAGTAACATCTTTGGCACCTCAGTTATCTGGGTATTACTCTAAAACTCTATATGCTGGCTGAACTGACCCAAGAGGCCTAATGAATTCAGACACTCTTGAACAAGTGTAATGATATACTGAACTAAGATGAGACAAAATCTGTCCACAGCATGTACTCATAAAAATCCAGATCCCATTGCTATCAGCATGTTAGTTCTACTATAGCAGCACTCAGAGGTTCTTATTTTTCATAAATTTATTATTACACCTCAGTTGGGAAAAGCCCACATCTTTTTCATCCCTTCTCTCCACCTCTTCTGTTCAGTGGTGAAAAAAAAAAGTAGAAAGATTTCATTACAAAGGGGAAAACATCAAAAATCAACAAATAGGAAACAGGAATAAAAAAATCACAGGCATTTTGTGATTTTTTTATTTTGTTAACTACTCTAGGCATGTACCAATGCCTAGAGTAGTTAACAAAAACAATGCAAAAAAAGTTATCATTTTCTTTAAAGGATTAAAAACAAATCTGGATAAAACTAGATGAGGACTCCATGAAGTAAACAGTAAATAGATATTTGGGAGATGACAAACCCTTCCTACAACAAATTTCCTATTCATGCAGAAGGAAATGCCCTGCACCAGTTTGGGTTCCACTGTTTACTGTTTGTAAACACATTCTGTGCAAGTGCAAAGGAGTAGATACCAACTGGTTTCTGAATACTTCTACCACCCCAAGCGTAGAAATCTCCTTGAAGATTAATCACTACAGCCAGAACAAAAAGATCATCCCAACCTTCAAACTTAAATGCAAAGTCCCTAGAAATCCAAAATTCCAGTGATCTGAAATGTCACCCAAAGCTAGCAGTAACCTTAAAACATCCTTATCTAATGTTACAGTCTACCATTTACTAGTGCTAAATAAGGACTGCAGAACTCCTTTAGGCTTCCTGCCCTGAGAAGATAAATGTTGGAAGCACTGCTCCTCTTGTTGACAGTCATTTACACCTACAGGGAGCAGTCAAACAGAGTTCAGAGCACAGAACAGATGCCTTCACAATATAACCAACGATCACGAAAAAGGTTTTTCCACCGGTATCCCTAGCTCCTAATCCATGCCTCTTCCATTATTTATTGTACTTATATATTTAGACTTCTAAAAGCCCCTTTAGGTCCCCATCCAGTATTTGGGTAACCACTCCTTATACTAAAATACCAAATGTCAAATTAGAATATTACCTTCCTCTTCCTTACATCCTCAGCAAACACAACAGGGAAAATGAAGTAAAGCCAGTTTCTCTGCCTCCTTTCTCCAAAAGTCACAGAGAAAAGGTTAAGAAGTCACAGCTCTTGTGGGCCAAAGGGAAAACTGACTCCAAGTCATGAGCTTCTCAAGAAGCACCTTTGAAAACAGCTTCCCTCATTTCCACAGAGGCAATGCTGCTCAGCACCGGACACCCATGGCCCACTGCTGATTGCCAGATGAGATGCAAGTAATAACTGATGCATACTCTATTAAGTGTGCTGATGTAAAAGATAGAAGCAGCAAATCAGGCTGCTAAGAAAGAAGAATAAACCTGTCTTATTTAAAACCACAGAGAATGTAAATGATTTAAACGCATGTCCTGAGCTACTGCAGTGAAGGAGAACAAAGCAAGCCACAGCAAATACAAATTGAAAAACATTAGCAGTGCCTGCCAGCTGATCAGTAAGGAGCCCCTGCCTAGATGACTAGCTGTTTTACACTGTTAGTTGCTGATGTTCAATGTCCATATTTCGAGATTTGGTGGCTTCCCAACAGCCTTTTCTCCTCATCATAGAAAAATTTATCTTGAATTAGTGAGTTTTGGCACATGCAGCAGTATCACACCCCGGTACAAAGAAGATGAATAAGGGTGGCCCTTAACGGAGGCCTTAATGCATAGGTAGCCATGACAGGCCCTTACAGTTAGCTGTTCCTTTACACCTATGCACACCTGTGCATCCACACACTTTCACTTGATCATCGCACACTGCTAGAGCTTGAGAAGCAGCTGATTAAAGTCATGAAAAAGTTAGTAATGCCTTACACTAACAAACAGAAAAGAATGCTTAATTGTACTGATTATTCATGAATCACAAGCTATTTCTGATTATCAAGAGAAAACAAAAATTAAGATTTTTTTTGATCACTGCAATGATTTTATAAACAAGGATTCAAGGTTTCAAACCTGATTTGAATTTCTGTTGGATTTTATACTTTTTATAAAAAGACTGGATCTTTCTTGCAGCTGCAACCTTTTCACAAACAGCTGTGTTATGTTTGTTTAATTCACCTAGAAATACAAATGTGAAAGTAATGTTTCCATTTAACTTGAGAAACAGTTTGCACAATAGGACTGTCAAACGTAAGGAAGATAAAGTAATTCATTTTAAAACAGCAGTAAAAGGAGAAATCCTGGCATATTATGACAAGCAAGACATACGTCAGCTCAGGACCTAACAAAGCCATAGAGGAGAATTGTTAGAAAGAAATAAAACACTGTGCCAGAAGGAAAAGGCAGTTCAGTTTTGGCTTATTCACCACTTGGTGGATGGAATTCTATTGTTTTTCTAATAAATGAAAAATTGCCTGCAAGTTTTCTGTGGGATTATTTATGAAGATGCATGGCTTGGACTGCATAAAGGCCAATAGTTAAAACACTAGACATTAAAAGTGCTGATCCAAAAAACTGAATAACAGAAAATGCAACTTATTCTACAAAAATTTATTCCAGAACAGTTTAATCTTTCTGAATTAATAATAATAATAATAGTCTTGGACACTTCACTGCACACTTTTGTACCTACATTTGGATCAAGTCTGGATACAGACTCAGACTCTTACTCATTCACAGCCAGACTTGAACAAGGACCCTCACAAACTGCCTAACTGCTGCAAGTAGAATGGACGCTGATGGCGATTCCTCCCTGAGCCAGGACAGAGTCAGTGATGTACCAGAGGACAAAGCTGAGGTTCTGATTATTCGGGGCCATTAAAGACAGCACTTCTAAAATATAAGGTGGTATGTTGGGCTTCCTGGTGACTTCTCAGATAAAAGTGTGTAACCTCAGCAGGTGTAAGTGGTCATAGCTTCTTGGGTGTCGGTGACCACTGACATGAAGTGCTGATCTGTCCCAAGTATTTAGAGCTAATTTGCTGACTGGTTCCATCTCCATTTCTGCAACTAAATAGTTCAGCAATGTCTGCTGTGAGCTGGCACATGCTTACATTGCCAGTGGGTTTGGCTGTATTTCAGTGACAGGTGGTAGAATTAATATGAACAGATAAAATAGCTATCTTTTACCAATTCAGTAGGAATTGCGTGGCTTTTCCTGTGCAGACTCAACATATGTACTGGACATGCACACAATGTAAAACATGCATCAGGTCAACTTCTCTAAGCCTCGTTATGAAAAAAACTAACCTTCTTTATCATCCTCTGAGTCATTGTCAGAATATCCAGCACTTTCATCTTTGTCACTGTCAGAGGCCTGCAGTGCCTTCTGTGATGAGTTTTTACTCTCCCTTTCATAGTCTAAGTTATGTTTTTTGTCATCTGAGGATGACTTTGACATTCCGTTCATTTGATCACCAGTCTGTCCCTCTTCATTAACTTCTTCATCTGCTTCAAAATCTCCTTCATACTCTAAAATAAAAGAATCATACTGTGAGACAGGAAACAGAATTCACAACTAATAAAGTTCTTTTTAAGCAGACAGAGGTTAACTTCATTAATCTCCTTTTGCCTTTGCATTTGCTCAGTCTTTTTAAAGCCATGAGAGAATCTAAGACCACAGATAGGAATCGTAAGAGCACATTATCATAAAAAAGCATCATGTTCTTCATAGATAGAGTAGCAAAAATGCAATAAAGCTACTGAATGATGCATCAAGTATGATTAATACATTAAAAACAAAACAAACAAAAACATTAGCCACTGAAAGGACTAGAAAAATTAAGAGCTGGGCAAACTCAGAAATAAAATGCAAGACAGTGTCATTACAGGAGAAAAACTTGTTGCGATGAAAAAAAAATACGAGCAATAGAGAAAGCTGGAGAAAGGTAACACATTGTAGCGCAAAGTAAGATAAATGTGGATTGACATGGCTAATTAGCAAAGAAGTGGCTTACAAACTAAATGAATTAATTAAATCCAGCCAAAGGGTGCTGTGGAGGAACATTCTGTTATCACACTGTTCTAGTATGCTCATTCAGGTCCCAGGTGAAATCCTAGTACAAATGAAGCTTACGGCAGAATTACCATTCTTACATCAACACGGTCTGGATTTCATCCCAGGCTACTAGCCTGAGAAGTTGTAACATTTGATAGATAACTTTGCTCAGGTCTATAGGTAAAGACTGTCTTCATGCATATGCATTAAAGAATCCTTCCCTTTCCAGCCAAGGCCGCACTATTTAAAATCCCAGGCACCAGCATGCACAGCGATGTCAGTGATTTCCATTTAAAATTCAGTAATTCCACTGCTACCACTAGCTCACTACACATGCAGCAGAGAGCCAACAAACCTAAATTGTGAAGGAGAGCTGTCACTGCTGACACACCAGCTGTCCCTCGTGGCCATAATTTCTCACCTTTCAGATTTTATTGCTCACCTCTTTTTCTTTCCATCAGTGCTTCTAAAGTACTGAAAGTGACAGAATGCCAAGGACAGAAATGAAGAGTATCTGATGCAGAACCAATTAGGCAAATAAACAGTTACCCAGACAATGAGAATTAAGGGAATAAGAAGATTTCTTTTCTGTGTTAAAAATCAATTGAGATTCCAACTGCATTGTTGGAAGTGAGGCCTCCTTAGGTAACTGTCAGAAAGGTGCCCACCTCCCGGAAGGAAAAAGGCTTGATTAATCACAAACACACATCCGCAGGGACTAACGAGGAAGCTGAGCAGTAGCACTGCAGAATTATGAAAGTAAAAATAGGAATAGGAAGTAGGAATTAAAATCTCTCTCTAAATTTGACTTACTCTGAAAAAGACTTTATAATAATGAGTGAGTGAAGGCACAGGCTGAGCTCACCGTCTCTTCTCGTAGGGGCAGGCAGAGCTGTAAGCAGCCTGATGGCAACAGGGACTGGCCTTAGGTGGCACTGGGGAAATGGCACATACTCAGCATGCAGTTGGAGCTGTGATGCATCATTTTTATACCACAAATATTATCTTTGTCTGCCACAAGAAGCACCCCTTGGGCAAACTTTCAGCAAGGGCAGCCTCTCTCCAGTCTCTCTAAACCTCTGTCAACAGAAATGAGATGGGACTCAAGCAAAAGGGGCAAGGTCAGCCAGCTAAAACAGGCAACGGGCGTGTTTGGTAAAGGGCAAGGACTAGCGGGGTCGGAGCAGAGAAGGCAAGAAAGGTGAGCTGGTAAGGCCTGGAGCGGAGGGAACAAATGCTCAGACAAGTGAGGAAGCTGGAGGTTTGGGCAGGTGTCAGGTAAGCGGTGCCTGGGGCAGTGTGGCGGAGAAGGGACTGGAAAGAGCCTTAGGTGAACAAAAAGCATTGCACTCCCATTGGCAATAGACAGCAGAAAAGACAAAAATAGTTCATCGGGCGCTAAATCTTGCTGACATTTTGCTGCTATGTGCTCTTCCCACCTGCCCTCCCCTTCTGCACCCAGCATTCAGCCTCCTTCCCTTCACAGTTTGTCCCTCCCTCCCTCCCATCCATCTTGCATCAGGCAGCAGGAGGCTTTTCCACCTCCTGCCCCTATGGCCACCGTCTTCTCTCCATTCACCTTATGCCGATGCCCTGTCTCCCTTAGGACCTCACCTCAGACTCAGTGTCTCCCTACCTACACCCAGTCCCATTTCTTCCTCCTGCTCTACTTGTCCTCCACCTGCTGCCATTCTCCTTCTTCACTGTTGTCCCTTCACTGTACCCCACTTTCCTCCTGCGTTCCCACCTACCTCAGGCTCCTGTTTCAGCCTCTCAGACCTTCCTTACTCACTTTATTGGCTCTTGCAAAACCCTCTCATCCTGTTCCTTGGCTGAAAGGAGCCCCACTAATTTTATTGCCCAGACACAGGCATCACCACATTTCTCACACATGAGGTGTCCTAAGAGAGGATGCTCCAAGCGAAGCTGGAGGCCCACAATCCCATACCTTCTCCAGAATCATTCTCTCCCATTTTTCATCCCCTGCTTGTGTTTTGGAATACTGTACCATTTTTACCAGTGTCTTCCTGACTATCTTCACTCTCACGATCATATAGTTTTTTCCTTTCTTCTTTTCTGTACTCCTGGCCGGTCTCCATTTTGTCCTCAATAGTTTCCACACTCACTTCATGACCTGGTAAGGTGACTAACACTGAAGCTTTGCTTGATTTCTGCTCAACACTGCTTTTACTTGGCTCACTGCGCACTCCATCTCTCCACGAACGCACATGCTTTTCCTCATGGTCCTCCATCCTTCTCTTGGGAGGGGATGGCTTTTTGTCAAGACCCATTGCAATAACGCACCTATAAAAAACCAAGGAGAATTGGAAAGTATCACATTTTTCTTTCTGTGAACAATGGAAGGGCAGCAGACACAGTGAGCTATTTAGCTCATTATCAGCAGTAAAACCGGGTACCTATCTGCCTCTGCATTGCCACTCAGACAACAAGGTTACTGATAATGACTTACTTGGAGAAGCACCCTAAAATCCTCAAGTGCTTCACAAACACAGATGCAGTTCCTCCTTGAAGGAGACTAACACTGTCTGCACTTAAAGGTGACAACTGAAGTATAAACAGATTAAAATCAAAATTATCATGTGTCCATTAATTTCAAGCTACACCAAGCATGATCTGTGAAGATAAAATCACTGAGAAAGGCAGACAAGCTCCAAGTCAGAGGTGTGCTTGATCCAGATCCTGCTGTAACACCCAGTAAAGTGATACCTCAGGTTTTGTGGATAAGACTTTTTTTGTAATTTGTCTGCTGGTCTAATAACTGTGGGGGAAGAGGGAGATTGAAATTGAATTATTTTCAGTTTCTGTTCTGTTTTTCCTACCTAACAGAAACCCAAACACTTGGAAAACAAAGCATTTTGAATGACTTGTTGAGACTGCTCCTCTTGCATAAAATGGAGTGACAGCCTCTCCATGTTACAGTTAGGAGGCTCATGTAAAAGACTAGAGTTCCTACTCCTGATTAACATTAACTGCAGACACAAAGAGCCACCCTACACCACCTATGAGTGTCAGGACATTGTGCTGTACGTAGTACATTGATTCAAATCTGCAAGCAGAGGATGAAACTGAAACTGGAACTTTCACTTTAGCTTATCACAAGTCTCTCTGGAATATCATATTTTCTTCACAGACAACTATGTCTTAAAAACTTTTCCTCCACCAAAACTGCTTTTTTATGTAAGGCTTGATTGCAATTCCCCTCACATTCCAGCTGTTTACAAACTACTGTGAAATATCCTACAGTCATTCAGTCTAGAAATCCTTTAGTTTTGTGGGCATAAAATGTAAATGTGACAATTTCTGAAAAGAGTGCTACCTTTTAATTATTTGTTCGTGGTATTTTTTCATGGACCTTTGAGGTACTGAAGCACTTCTACTGTACAGAAATGCTGGACCTAGGCCAGCAGAAAACTGTCTGTGCAAGGATCACAGCACCAGCGTAGAAATCACTGTGGCATCACCTCTTTGTGAACCAAAGCCTTAACCCTACAGAGAAAATCAACTGGGATCTTTACTGAGAATCAGAGTGGGTATTTAATATGTGGATGTGGTGTCACACTCAAAACAGGAAACAAATACAACTGCATTTGACCTGAAGGAGATGTGAAAATAGTTGTCATTTATGAAGAGAATATGGTTAATGGAGATGTTTTTTAGTCACCAGTAAGGTTGGCTGGACTGACAAGAGATAGGAAAACAGAGATATCACTAAGAATAAGAGGAGAAGGTGGACAGAAGGTGGGGGCGACTCAGGAAGAAATTAACCAATTTCTGGAGACTATATTAATTCAGAAAATTCACTTCAAATCTTTCTAGAAACAGCATAAAAGCTGAGATTTGGGCATTTCCTAAACTCTGTAGCCACTATATCCATTCTGAATTCAGATGCTTTTCACTACTTTGAACATACTAAGTAATACATTTACATAAATCATGCTCAATGTTAGATTGGAGTAGAAAAAAAGAAGTACAATAAAGTAGAAATTTTTTTCTTAGAACTCAGTCCGTATCTAAAAAATAGAGTATAGCTCTGTGGAGGATCTCTTCTTCCAACTGCTTGCTGCTCTTTTAAAAATTACTTATGAAAAGAACAAAATAGTTTTAAAATTATCCGTGTGTGCAGAAGTTTACTTGTCTGGCATGACTTAACCATCACACAAAAGGACGATTTTATTAAAATTAAAGCTTCTTGGCAAAACCACAGCTGTTGCTCACAGCATTGACATTTGCCCAAAACCAAGAATCTTCTGCACAGATTTGTTGTCTGAAACATGGCTAACATTCAATACTGTCTTATTCTGCAGCCAGGGGTATTACAGCAGAATCCCGCCTTAGAGGCAGAGCTGTTTAAAAATAAATTATCTTGTTCTCACAATCACAAAGAAAACCCTGAAAACTACAGTTAGCAGCACTCTTGATATTTATTTCACTATCACTTCCACCAGAAACATGTAAGTGGCATATGTATACCACCCCACACCTATTCCTCCATACTCGACTGCTGAGGAAGTGCTGGCTGCCTTCTGACAAGCTGACAGATCCAGTGCAAACATTGTCCACTGCTGTGCATGCTCCACAGAGTGACTGACTTTAATGGCATCCTTAGATGTGGGACCCTGAGAGATAAGCTCAATTCTGCACATTTCAAGGGGCACTGAGAAACAGACGAGGTTCTACAGAGCTGTGGGGTGCAGAAAGATTAAAAAAGAGGAAACAAGTGATAAACTCTCTAAAAACTGGGCTGCTAAGACCTTGTGAGCCAAGTGTATTCGTCTCCATACCTGTAGCAAGGAGATGCTCCCTCCACATTGAGAAACCCGAAGTATCCATGTCTGCCTCCCAGCCTGGAACGCTTCTGATGTTTGTACTCACAGCAACAGCTCAACCTGTCCACTTGCATCCCATTGAGAAAAAATGTGAGGCTGAATGGGAAACCATGGTGCCTCTTTGAGACAAACTGAAAGGTCTCTGTAATCACAGAAAGGAAAGGGTTCAAAGAAAAAGGTTATGCTTTACTGTCAGCCTATTGCAATTGTTGTATCTCGTCTGCATCACCACCAAAGCACCCAGCCCTCTGAGGTCAGGTGCTTTGGTTCTCGGCTCTATTAATTAGTTGGTAAAACTCCACCTCCTCCCCACACAACAGCCTCGTCTCTTTCCAACCCAGGAGTACCAAGCTGGACGTACCTGCAACAAGTGAATACATCGTCAATTTGGCTGCTCACTGCTACAGCAGAACAGAGACCAGAGCCTCCCATCTCAAAAAAATTGACTCTGCCACTTGCCTTACAGGAGTGTACATTATGCACAGAAAGTTTAGGATTCCTGGCGTGTGTCTACATGGTGCAGTGCAGCAGTATGTTGGAGTTCCCGCAGTGTAACACACATTCCTCAGTGCAGCACCTCGCAGAGTGCAACCAGGCTCCAGATCAGTACAGCTGCAATATTAGTGGCTCTGGGCCTGCACTAATACAGTCACACTCAGAGCAACACTGAGCAGCTGAAAGATGCTGTTTCTGGAGCCATTTCAGGCCACTCTGCAAGGGCACTGTTCTGCATCCAGGCCTCAAGGGCACTGAGGCTGCTACCCAGCTCCATGCAGGGGGGGACTGTGTTGTACTCCCTTAACCCACAAGTCATAGTATCCTTCCAGAGTAAACTGGGCACACACCAGCAGGGAGGAAGCCACACTGCACTCCAGGAGGTTCCCTAATAGGTGTGAATGGGGCTTGGGACAACAGAAGCACACACAAAGGACACCTTCTGCACAGCTGGGACACAGCTGCAACAAACACCCTAAACAGATCTGTGAGCACGCCACAGTGCACTCATAACCTCAGGGGACAGGCTGAAGTTCAGGGATCTCTGCACCATCTTCCCATATTCAGTAAAAATGCAAATGCAAACACAGTGGGTTCTGTGAGCTGGAATGAGGGATATGATCAGTGGAATCACTCTTCCTCATAAGTGAAAATCTCCCAGCCATTTCCTTTTCCCAATTTCCCAGAACACAATTTGCCTTTTACTGGTGTGATGGAATCGCACTCACGTAAAAGAGATGGGAATTGGGCTCCCACTATGTACTTTTCCTTCTGGAATAATAAGCAACATGCATTGATGTATTATAGGAAGTCAGAAACAGATAACGCCTACTTAAGGACAGTCTACCGCTACAACTACTTTATTAACCATACATCTCTACACAAAATCAATCTAAGCTACAGTATTTTGTTAAATCAATTCTCTAAACTCATTCTACCATAATTTGCAAAAGTAATTGTAACCTTACTTTCAATCACGAAACAGTAGATCCAGATTTAATGTGGAGGCAGATGGTATAAAAATCCCTGGATGCATATACCTTGACTGAGCTCAGCTGAAATCATTTTGATATCGCATCAACATTTTAGCCAAAAAAAAAGAGATGTTGCCAGAACCAATATGAACTCTTTGACTCTCTATCCTTACCTCCTTCCAATAGCTTGCCTTTGTAGACACAAAGGTTTTCTCCTCCACAATGCTGCTGATAGATTTTGATTTCATCTCTGTAATCAGCATCATCACGAGATAAATGCACGCTTTTTCCTAGAAAGACCATGGTAACAAATGCGTTGCTGCGTAACGAGGGCTTAGGGAATCCTCCAGAATTCTGCAGCAGGAAATACACAAAAAACGCATTCAGCTTCCAACTCTAACAAAAGCTGAACACAAAGATCACGTACGTGCGGCATACACTTGAGGCTTCCAGTCTTTTAAGACAGGCCTTGAGCTGCCTAAATTGGAAAGTGGTGTAACATGCAGAAGGGCAGGAAAATATTTTGGGCTGAAAATCCATTGCATTGAATTGCCCAAATTGCAGGGACCAGGTTTAATGACCCATATCATCCCTCCCAGTCCTGGGTTCCTACAATTTCCTTTACAGGAGTCAAAACTGGCTGGAGCTATAGTGTAACAGATGAAGTTTTCATATACTCAAGGCATTTCATATATCCCTCTGAAGTTCTGGTACCAGATATAGTCAGAGACAGGATCAGATTGACTAAGGTGGAAGGCTTTAAATAGGAGTTGCTATGTTTTTTCTGTTCAAGCACCTTTTTTTCCCCCAACTGATGAAAAACACCGAATGTTTTAGTATATAGAGAGATGGGTGGCAATTACATATTTTAATAGTTATAAATATCCTTTCTTTCAAAAATTTAGTGAAGCTTTATACAAACTAGGTATACACATCTTTCAGCATTAGGCGAATACATCAATAAGGAAGGTAATATACCTATACATAAACTGAGAAGTAGACAGAGATAACTTACCTGTGTTAAAAGTTGCTCTAAGCCATTTGGTGCAGTGGTGGGACGAAATTGTCTGCCTCTGAGCATCCGATTTCTCACTGCATTTACGCTCTTGTCTCCTTTTTGCTGGGGGGGAGGTGGCACTGGTATCACATTATTGTTAATGACAGGTAGCTGATACGGGGATATACCACTCACATACTCCATTGAATTAATAAGTCTTAACTCACTCCTCTCCCCCTGGAAAAACGTTTTAACCAGGTTAAACAGGTTATGCAAAAATAGCTACCAAGCATATTGAACTAAGCGTGGTTTGACTGCTCTTTACATTTAGTAACACACATACTTCTAGAACAATTCCTTAACTTGGTGCTTGCAATTTTCTTCATGAAAACATTTCTGTGCTAAAACCCTTTCTTTTAATTTGCAAAGCAACAGGCAGATTGCTTGAAAATTACACCCTCATAGATATATACAACATTGTAAACCATGTACTACTTGTAACCATGCAGAGTTCTGATCACAAGCAGACAGAATACTGCACAACCCCACAGCACTGCTGCGTTCTCTCAGCTGGCAAGCAAATTCCAAAGCAGCCAGAATCTTCCAACAGTAACATCATTTGGCATCAACTATATGAGATGTGGTTCAAAACACTTCTTTCCCATTTGTAGTGGAGGTTTAGTCCTCCTTCAGGATGAAATACAAACAGAGCACCAGGGCCCCGACAAGCAAGACATCTCTAGAGAATAAATTCTGCAAACATTGCATGCTCTGGATCTGATTTAGCTGTTTTGTCAGTAGTGAGCATTAAAGAAACAATTTAAATGACCCGTAATTTGAATAGACAGAGATAGTGCCAGCAAATTCTTGGAGAAAGGATCGTGACCATCACAATACAGAGCAAATGCATAGCAGAAGGGAGCTATTCATACAGTCTCTGCCAGTCAGGAGTAGCAGGTCACAGTCCCATTCCAAAATCCTCCAGTCCCATGGAACTCCTAACACAAAGCCAATTACATAACGTTTTCCTAGAACAGAAGACAAGTCCAAATCTCACCTGAAAGGAACTGCGTACATATCAAGATCATGTTTGGCTACTCCAAAAAGCTCTCATTCTCTGAACCCACCAGTGTGACTTAGTAGGAGGAATGGTAAAAAAAAAATTTATTTTTTTGCTACTTTGCTGCTGTAGATGAAGATGAAAACTTGTAAGACTGTGTGAAAATATTCCTGAGTTATTCGTGTTAACCAAGTGGCTGCCACCCTCTCTACATAACAGAAAATCTATGTAGAGGCAGAAAATTTTGCATGCAGAGAGATGTTATACTATGAAAGAGAAGTCACCACATTTTTCCTGGCTGTGATCAAGAACTGAGCATTAGACCAGCAAGAAAATGTCTTGAAAATTAAGGAGAGGTTAAAAAGGAGAGTTTAAGTAAAAGCTGATAACCATTTGGTAGGCACGTTGCCTGCAGCACACAGTTCTGGGAACTACAGTACTAAAGCAGTATTATAAAGCTGTCTCTAAAATTGTATTATTTTCAGAATGAAATATGGCCTCACCCCACTGGCAAACTGCTGATCATTTTCAAGTCTGTGGCACTTTTGTTTAGAGGTTGAAGTCTTTGGTACAGACCCTACTGCAGCACAGCTGCGAAGTGGTGGGAGGCGAAGCGGGTATCGCGCATTTCCTGGAGCTGTATTTGGTCGCCAGGAGGTCTAGAAAAGGAAAAAGCAAACAGCTACAAAATCTCAGTGTATAGTTTCCAGTGCAGAGCAACATCATAAAGAAAAAAAAATAGCACTGATTGAGATATTTCAAAGTGATGAGTGATTCTCAGGTACCTTCAGGAAATGAAATTTTCTAGTCTGCCTCTGAAGAACCAGACCCCTTTAGGCATCTCTAATTGAGCATCCAAAAACTGGAGCATCCAAAATAACGCTTGGGCATTAAACCTAGGTTTTGCTACTCTGTCTTCACAGTGCAGCCTTGAAGCAAACATAATGAACTCATAGAAACTGTAGCAACGTGCTGTGTTTTGGTGACTTCAGCACATGGACACTGAGAGAATGCACGACAAAAGCATGCCTATTTTTCTTCAATACTCAGCATTTTTCTGACTTTTTTATTTCATCTTTTCCTCGTATATCCTTCAGAATACCACGTTAAAATGTTAAAACCTAAAAAACTATTTAACTGAGTTAACTCACCGTATTAGAAAAGGCAGGCTCCTTGGATCGGTGTTGATGAGAAGGATGTCTACCATAGTAATCAACTACAGGTCCAGGTGCCCTCTGTATGGGATGGAGAGGAAAAGGTCATTCAGGACTGAAAATCTCTCTTCAACCTGCACCAATTATCATTATTGAAATGGAGAACCAGTTAAAACTGGACTACATATTTGACCTTTGATCTTAGACTTTAGTATCATTATATTTCAAGAGTATATTAACATTCCTTCTCTGCCTGTTAACAGAGACTAAGAGGCTTCTGAGCCAGAGGTCCAAAGCACAGCCTTCTGGAAAGAGCTTTAGTCTTACTGCACCCCTTCAACTCTGTTTTCTAAAAGACCTCCATTGCTTGCAGGATTTTACAACATCTGTAAACTTGCCTACAGCTATAGTATTCATTGACAATACTTAATGTACTGATACTGGCCTAACCTTGGGTAATAAGGCAGATAAAAGGGAAAGATTAAAGCAGATTTATCACAAGGAAAGCTATTTTTTTCTAAGTTCTGATGTGCCATTCCTGCAACATCGGCTTCTCAAGATTTCTCTTTAATGACACAACTCTGCAAACAGGAAATCAGCCTCAAGTGATGAAGGATGAGTCCCTAATCTAGAACAACCAGGGCAATCAATGCTCTAGACTAAGCACAGATGTCATAGGTATACGTGCACACTTTCAGCTGTGTGTGCTTACATTATAGGATATGGAGTATTTGGTGAAACTCACCAGTTGTGAGTGACCAGCTGGTTCTCGAGCCGCTAAAGGATGGAGCCCATAATGATTTCTTGGACCAAGTAGTGGACGTGGGCAGCGCATCAGGCTAGCACCTTCCACAGATCTTCCGGATTGTTCCGCCTAAAAGAATAGAAATTTACATCTCTGAGGTACTAAATAGTCTTAACAGCAATGTTTGAGCTTGCCTTCCATCTGTCTTTCATTGGACAGCTATGACGATCAAATTGCCTAGACCCGATGGAACACCTGGTTAAGGAAGGAAAGGAAATCAAGGGGAGAATGAGAGAGGGATGAGGGAAAAGACTTGTTCCCATCTCCAATTCATTTCCCTGCAGCCCTCTCCAGCTGCAGATCCCCCCAGATTCAAATCATCTGCCTGTTTCTGTGTATCTCCCAATTCTTGGTTTGGTTGAAGGTCTCTTTCTTTTTTAAATTTGAGTGCATCTGCCACTTCCTTGCTCTGACTGCTGCCCCTTCCTATCTTTTCTCTCAAAAGCTCCACACTGGGCTGACTACCCTTCTGGAAATAGATAGCTATGTTTCTCATCCTCCCTTGCCCATCCATGTTTCTCCTTTCCTTTTAGATTAGCTACTCAGCCGAATTCACTGAATGTATGAGGTGATAATTAAATTACACTGCTAATTCCACCCAGGTTCCTGTGCCCCAATGCGGCATCACAGCAAAGATACAGATCACATATCTGCAGGCATCTCCCTTACACTTCTCACTGAAGGAAGCCGTTTTGGTTTATGTTCCAAAATTATCCAAGTCCAGAATTCCTTGATAGGGTGCCTTAGTCGCTGCTTCCACTGTAGCAACTTTCTACCAGCAGGAGTTCAGTCAGTAAATAATGCCTTTGCAATTACCATAGTGATCAGTGTTTTTCATTAAAATCTCCTCCTTTCTTTACCTGATGAATTGCTCATAAATGTATTATTTAAAATTAAAAAGATTTGACATTGTTCTTCAACTGCTCAAAGAAGCAGCTAGCTTCTCAATGCGTTCTTCTTGATGTATGCAGGCTCCTAATAAAGAAATAAGGTGTTGAGATATTTCAGCCAAAATGAGAACTTTTTCCATGAGTCCAAGTGACTTCATGGGGAGAAGAACCATTGACTTCTGTGGGATTTCCATGACTAACAACTACAGGATCAAGTCTACCTACATGACAGCAGAGTGAAGACTTCTGAAACCTCTTTTCATTACTTACATTAAACATCATGTGGAGAGGCAAATGACTGAAAATGTGAGCTCAGTGCTCAGCAGCAGTCAAAAGCAGATAGCGTCTAGAATTACAAGGAGAAGAACTGCAACATGTATCTTAAATTATTCATCCAGTTCTGGTTCCCCATTTCAAAACAGAAATAGTAGAACTAGAAAAGGTAAAAAAATGGCAACAGTAATGAGAAGCCTGGAATGGCTCATGTATGAAAGGTTCAGTAGACTGAGGGTCTTCAGCTTGGACAACTGAGAATATGAAAACGGTATGTAAAACCACATGTGCCTTGGAAAAGGGGAACAGTTAATAACTTTTTTCATAACAAGAACAATGGAGCATCAAACAGAATTATCAGACAGCAGATACATTAATTATTGTGCAGAAATGCAAGGAAGCAGCATTTCATACAACTCATAATTCAATTCCACAACCAAGAACACTTCAGAACCAAAATAATAAGTAGATTCGAAAGGAATCATGTGCATGAATGGAAGTTCCTGAACTGCTGGACAGAGGAAGAAGGAGAGGTAACCTGCAGCAGGATCATCCTTTACTTGCCTGTTTCTTGTACTTTTTCCATAAACATCAGAGACAGGACACTTGGCTCAATGAGTCTCCGGCCTGACTCATGGCTGTTATTTAACACGGGGCAAAACTGCCATGTCCCATCAGTACTCAGTAGCACTCAAGCCTTACCTTGATTTTCTGCACCCTCTTCTTCCTCACAAAATTTTCAAGTTTCTCTTTTACTTCCAGCTGATGACGACGCTATCAATGGAAGAGAAAGAGAAATCTCATTAATGGACATGATGAGATGTCAATGAAGGTAAGAACATTTGCTTCTGTTCTGCTTATCACTTGCCTGCTCCCTGGTCGTTACCCTCATTGAGCCCTATTATGAAACTACTATCGATTCAATACATTTGCATTACACCTGTGTAGATTAACATTGGCAAGGGAACAACTGAGTATTTGTAAAGTTGTAGGGACCAACTCCATTCCTGATACATAAGAGGAATGTGCCCAAATTTTGTACTCAGATAAGATATGTAACCATGTTCAAACTATTTTGTTTTGATTAGAATTTTTTTAAGCAAACTAGCCCTGTGAATATCATCCCATAATCTGATGACTGCCAAAGTGCAGTAAGTGAGCCAGGACAGTGTATGTTCTAATGACAGTATGGTTTAATAACTAGAGGCCAGTGGAGGTTTCATGTGGAGGACATCAAGCACAAAGATTGTCCTTTTTCCCAGCAGGAGAGAGCCTTTCAGGGGAGCATGAGGGCACAGCTACGGAAAACAGTCCAGTACGAGTTAACAGCCACTGGCTGTCAGTAGGGAAGTATCTGAAAAGACTTACACGTTACTAGTAAATGCATACCTCCGTATCAAGGACCTCATTAAATACGGCCTGAGCCAGGCACTCCTGTACAGATCTTTGGTGATCCCTCCTGATAGCATTTAGCCGATATTCTTTCTCAGATATTATTCTTCCACTCCTTGAGATCTGCCGTAAAGAAATATAATGTAACTAAAAACAAGAGGAGAAGACAGAATAAAGTATGTTTTTAAACAGAGTGCAATTTCCCAGAAAGACTACTTTTTCTTCCTGGTTAGCTACCACCTCTGCTTCTGCCATGGTGCTGGAACTCACCTTCCCAGCACAGAATTGTAGTTTCTTTGACCCCATGGACCCCATGAGCCAAATGAAGAGACCAGGAGAGCAGCAGTCACATTTTCTAACAGTTGAGGGCTCAGCCTTACTCTTCATGGGCCATTGCCCAAGTCAGTGGAGGGGAATTAAATACTTGCCTTCCTACTGTGTAAGGGTTGCATCTGCCTGTGCTAAACAGAGTCACACCTAGGAGTGCATAAGTATTTTTAAAAATATTCAGCACATTCACCTTTACCAAATCCTTCAGTTTTCCTTAAACACTTTTGAAAAATAACACTGAAGCTATTTAAATAGCTAGTAGAGTCAAAGATGCTTAGATTTCACAGTTTAAAAAACCTAAGAGAATCAACATGATTCTGTATATTTGCAAACTGAAGGATTTTGCAGAGGCAAACTCCAATGAGCAAAAAGAAATATGGAGCAAAAACATAAAAACATTCTGAATTTATCAAAACCTCTCCATGAAATATCTTCTTCTGCCTGGATGTGAAATACAAGCAGATTGACAAACATTCTCACATCACTGTAATTGTGCAGTAATACAGTGCCATATGTAACAACTTACTGAAACTCCAGTACTGAGCAGAAGCTCAGGGCTAAGCCAAGGCTCTCCAATATTTACATACATCATGAATCCATGTCAGTCACTGTTCCCAGTTTCATGCAGATAAGCATTATGACGGTTGCGTTACAGAAGGTGCAGTAAGCTTGATATTCTGTGGAGTATGGCCTCCATACTGACTGTTAGCACACCACTTCTAGTGTGGAATCATCATCCACCAGCAGCCCCCATGCTAGCATCTTCATAGCCCCAGGTGGCCCTTGGACTTTGACATCCTGGAACATGCTCAATGCCAGCTGCAGTATTTCCTCAGCTGTCACCGGTGTCGTCAAAACTACTTAGCACATAGAGCTAAGCTCCGAGCTCAGTTTTACTTGTATTTCTGTCATTCTGATTTCAGTAGCGCGGCCTTACAGACCACAGCCCTGTGTCCCTGCGATATCTAGCTGACCAACGGTAGAAAATAATGCAGCGGGAAATGCTTGGATTAAACAAACCCGCCCTCAGTCTCAGTGTGATCATGTGGCTTTGATCTGGCACAGCATAATTTCACGTGTTTGGCTAGCTGGTCAAATTCTTACCAATGACAACACATACCTCTAACAAATAAACAACAGAACCATCAGTGGTTTGACGTGTGCAATATTAAAAGAAACAAAGAATTCTTTTCTTTTTTTCTCAGAAAAGGAAACTTTTCAGTCTCACCAGTCCTGATCTCTGAAGATGTCGTCTCATCCTGGTATTGCTGAAATATCCAACCAGGTGTTTGTCTGTAAGGCTATTGTAGGTTGCAAGAAGTCTGAAATAAAATCAATACAGATGTATATAATCCCCTTGACAGCCAAGTTATTACATCTTAAGTTATAAATCACACCCAGCATTTTGTCCGATAAATGCCCATTAGATTATGTAAAAGCAACATCTTATTGCCTCCGGAAGATTCATATCAGAAACAAGTGACATCTACATAAGATACAGCAGCTCAGCATCGAACGGCATACCACCACCAAGGCAGTGATCCTGTCCGCCCAACCCTGAAAGTCTCCTCCAAGACCAGCTCCGACAACAGCCTCCTCAGACAATAAACTCTGACCTTTGGCAGGTTAGTATCATGCCATACAACATTTGGAGCCAAATTTCTGGCTGAGTCCGGCAGGCACGGACCCCAGCTCCCTCACCGCCCTGCCATAGGCCCTATTGGAATTGCATGAGTATACGGTATATCACCAGGGAGAGAGATGTCCCAGAACTCCTGCACCACTGCACGCCTTCCACTGCCCCACCACATACCCCATGCTCCCCTTCCTTCTGCCACCTCCTAACTGGTGATAGATCTGGCAGCGACAGAGTTTCTGGTAGCTTTTGCAAAGACCCGTAAGAATAACTTGCATTGGGAGGGACCCCCAGAGGCCATCTAGTCCAACCTCCGGCCCCAAGCATATCACTTATCAGACTTTACCTACACAAAGGAATTTTCCAGTGGTCTTCATTGCCAGCTCTCAGCCATTATTGTCTGGTATCTAACACAAAAAAATTGCTTTCTTCAGTCTACTTAGGTTAGCAGAAACTGCTAGCACCAAAACATATTTTTAAGATACTGTTCCCATAGTATTTTCACTGGCTTGAAAGTTAGCATACACGTTATTAACTTGGGTGCAAATCTTTGCTCTGATGAAGACTACTTATTTGTGGTTTCAGCCAAAGCCTCCTTCAGTATCCACATTTCCATCCATTTTTTAATGGCAATTTCCTCCTCTTTAATGTTCCCACCATCAGAGGGACTGCGTATCAAATTCATCACTTGGAACACCTACACAGAAAACTAAGTGGCTTCAATTTCAGGTGTCAAAAAATACCCTTAAGTTTTCCCTCCTGTTTTGAACCATTTGGGATTCAGCTACATGTCTGTTAAAATGTTGCCTGGCCAACCACTAAGTTGTTCATGAACAAAAAAGCCTGTTTCAAAACAAAAGTTCTCCATTTGGCCTTTATACCAACAGAACTCACAAACCACCTGGGAAAACTAATCCATGACAGCAAGATTAGGAACTGCCCTGTCTATTTCGGGGACCATTTATTCGAACACAACAGTGACTCTAGAATATTATTTACATGAACAGCCAAGAATGCTTATCGCACAAACATATTCGTAAATTCAATTGCACAAAACTTATGCAGGGCAAGATTCATAACTTTTGTGGTATTTACAGGCTAGAAAGCATATGTTACTGTAGTATGTTTTTGCTGGCTGTCACTATACGGCAGCAGTTTGTCTGAAGTGCAACTTGCATTGATGAGAATACTTCTTTTTTTCCCTCTCTAAATGCAGCTACTACATTTTACCAAAAATCATCGGATCTTCTCTATGTGACTGATTTGCTCAAGCTAAACAAAAAACAAATGTACTCTGCAGGAAACCAAAGAGTTTGCACAAAAGGCCAGCAAGCGCACTCATCTGGCTGCATGAGTCCTGACACACTATTGCTCTGGCACTCGGCAAGCTGCCACCTCTTCACCACCCTGGTCTTTCTGTGGAGAGTATGCTTTTTGCTGGAAGGACAGGAACAAGTCCTTATCCAAACTAGGGCATCAGAAGACAGCTGAGTGGTGAGAGACAGTGCCTCTCTCTCAAGAACTCAGCCCCTCCTGGGTTAGAAAGCACAGACACTGGACAACTCATCGCTCAGTTCAGTATCAGCCTGCGCAGGCCAAAGCTAAAGACCCAAATCTCTTTTGCCACACCCAACTCTTGAGATTTTAAAAGAGACCAACCAGCCGGTACTACGACGGCTCTGGAGTGCCACTCAAAAAGACTCCTGGGACTACGCTGCTGTAGTGGCCAGAACAGTTGGGCTATGCTACCTTCTGCTAATCTTTAAAGACCCCTTTAAAGACCCCTGACGTAGGGGTGCACAAGTCCTCCTCTCTATGCAGAGCAATAAAAATGGGCCCAATACGAAATGCAAGAACCTCTCAAGTCTTTTCCAGTTCCCAAGTCAATATACTAAAGATTCTCTTTAATGCATACATTGAACAATCCAAAGTGAACAAATTGCATCTCTCTTCTATTCATTGGTGAAAAACTGTAAGACCAACAAACATGGAGAACCAGATCATGCTGACCATCAAAGCAAGGCCCTCCCCTGCTCTACCCAAGAAATGTCATGCATCTCTGCCAACAGAGCTAAACCATTGCAGCTACCAAAGATCAGACCTTCCAAAAATTGAACCTAATATATGAGAGTTGAACACAAAACCTGAAGCATCCATAATTAGCAGATATATTTTTAAATAGTTCTTAGCACAACCTTATCTTACTTCACCCTCTGGAAAACAGGACAAATAACAAAGTAAGGGACAGTAGGCTTAAGTTTTTAATACTCTAAATCCATTCACATTTGTAAAATGTATACACTCAGGCAGATATTGCACAATATGTTCAGCCTGATCTTTGCACTCTCTAGGCAGGATTTGTTTTCATTACACAACAAGAGACTGATCTCTCGTTTCCTTTAGCTTTAAATCTAAATGCCACTGTATCTCTATTACATATCTTTCAGTGGGGTAATTCAAGATAAATGTCTATTGCTAGGCTGAGTTACCATGCACAAAAGTATACTCAAGGAAAGAAAGAACAATTAAAAAAAAAAAAAAGAAATCAAAAAAAACAAAGATCATGGATTTACAGGAATTTTATCTGGGGTTTCGCAATAATCTCACAGGTAGCCTACCAACAATAAATCAAACTTTCAACAAACAGTTTAGCTTACCCTGTTATGCTTGTTGATTAAACACTGGTACTATAGCAACTGTTCTACATTACTTTTTTAATCCACTGTTTGCATTTGCATTTGCAACCACCAGATTACATCAATTCTGCTAAGTATTGACTTATGGTATCACCTGGCAATTGCATACGGAGGCAGAGGAGAAACTCAATCCAATTCCTTTTCATTTGCTTCCTTCCATCTAATATTTCATGGACCATATAACTAGTTAAAATGCAACTCCCATCTGAGCACAGTGATGTAGCAACTTTAGTTTCAAAGAAGTCTCTGTACATGTAGTTTCTCATTTAAATTATGAACAGGCTGAATTAAATTAAAAGTTCAAAAGGGTATTGGAGGAAATAAGGAAATGTTTTGGGCCCGAACCAAAACCCATTAAACCATTGGGAAGAATGTAATTGGATCCGCTGGGCTTTGGCAGAGCCACACTGCCAAGAGAAGCCCAAGCTCTCTGCCCAGGTGAATGCCTCTGTTGTCAAGAGAACCAGCACAGACAGAGCCACACAGAATATCCCAGGCACTGACTCGAACTCAGATTTAAATCACGTGCAGTAAGCAGGGGCTGGCCCTGCAAGCGGGTGCTCACCTGGAGCTCCTGCCAGTTTTCCTGCTTATTTCAGCTGACCACCCTCCCCCAGTAGATTTTAGGCAAGTTTAGTTGGGAG